AACACAATTACTACTTATTGTGTATATAACTAGTTAATCTATAGAAAAATAAAAATAATTTTGTGGCTGAAGGTACTCTACAATGCTAAAATTAGAGCATTGATCGTATAATATTTATATTTTTAAATAAATTTTTTTTTCTTTAATTACACAGTATAAAATGAAAGTGCATAGAGAAAAAAATAAGAAAGAGGTACGTGTAGATTAATGAGATTGTCTGATATTAGGAAGTGCTAATTGAATTGTTTAGCATTGGGAGTCCCAATAGAGAATATGATGTTTGTGGACAATTTTTTTTTAAATGATTTTTGTACCATTAGATAAAATTGATGAAAAATATATTAGAGCAACACTATAGATACCTAATTTGAAAAGTTCACGAGGGACCTAATTCATTACAATCATTATATAAATTGCGAGTTTTAAGTCACTTTTAATGCAAGAAGTACAATTAATTTGATCCAATGAGTATTTTTTATTAGATTAATCTTAGTCATTATTATCTATACTACTAATAAAATTACCTTAAATGAAAAAAAAATTAATTCACTATTTTATCCGTATAAAAAATTTTATAATGTCACACTATCTTTTCATAGATAAATATCTAAATAACATTCACATCTTATCTATTTAAATCTCTAAATTACCCCCAACATCTATTTTAATTCTCTATTCTCAATGAATTAATATCAATATCTATGAGAATTTTTAATTAACTACATTATCCTTAAAATAAATGTATCATTATAGTTTTCAATAAAGTGTTTAATTTTTTTTTTAAAACTCATCAATAGATCATTACTCTTTTCAAATATAAATATAACATTATGCATACCTAACAATAGTTTTTTTTACAATAATATCAACTTTCGAATGATTTTAGTGAAAATACGATCTGCAAATTGAAAATTTACAAAATGACGAGTAGTAATACACAATCGACAGTTGAATTACGACACTCAATACCAATTGTGAACATCAAAACATCGAAATTCTGAACTCCATTTTTTGGTTTACCTACAGTAACATAAACGTTTTTCACAGTAATACAACCAATGAATACTCGATTGTCTTACGCAACAAAAAAAATCAATAAAATCAAAATCTATAACACTTTTAATTTAGTACTAATACATGAGTTCTCTTGAATCTTGATTACAAAGTTAATGTCCTTTTTGACAGAATTAAATCCCTAATTGTTATTATTTTTTTACTATCTTACTATTTTTTTGTGAGCATGTTACTATTTTTTTAGTGACCATGTTACTGTCTCTGTTGAGTATGTTATTATTGTTATTTTTTAAATAGTAATATTTAATATTAATATTTTGCCGATGAAGTTCAAAATAAACTGAAATAGTAAATTGAAATTATATTTTATAGAATGTAATGGATTTGAAATTTAAATATGAACGATTTTTGGTAAATGTCGGTTTCTTGTTTTTTGGATAAGGAAACATTGTAACTTAGAAGATTGTAGCCAGATTTGAAGGCGATTATGAAGGAGATGTATATGGCTGGTTATTGTGTTCATAAACATCGTTTATAACATTCCTATAAGGAAGGGTTACAATAGTAAAATTGACAAAAAATAGACTTAAAACCAAATAAGATTCCTTGACCAATTTATCTCCAAATAAGTTCATATAGGGGGATCAACCTGCAAATTTTCCAAAGTTTAACAAGTCAAGTTATACCAAGTGTAATTTTTAGTTTAAAAATTTATTTATAACTCAAATACAACTTATTGTGTACATAACTTGTTAATCTATAGAAAATTAAAAATAATATTGTGGCTGAAGGTGCTCTGCAATGCTAAAATTAGAGCATTGATCGTATAATATTTATATTTTTAAATAATAATTTTTTTCGTTAATTACACAGTATAAAATGATAGTGCACAAAAGAAAATAAGATAAAGGTAGATGCAAATTAATGAGATTGTCTAGATTAGAAAGTGTTAATTGAATTATTTAGCATTGGGGGTCCCAATAGAGAAGATGATGTTTTTTGCTGATATTTTTTTTTTAGAATGAATATTGTACCGATAGATAAAATTGAAGAAAATATATATAAGAGCAATACTATAAATACCTAATTTGGAAAGTTCACGAGGGATCTAATTCATTACAACCATTACATTAATGGTGAGTTTTAAGTCACTTTTAATGTAAGAACTATGATTAATTTGATCCAATGAGTATTTCTTATTAGATTAATCTTAGTCATTATTATTATCTATATTACTAATAAAAGTACCTTAAATGAAAAAAAATTATTTTATCTTTATAAAAAATTTTATAATGTCATGCTATCTTTTCATAGATAAATATTTGAATAACATTCACATCTTATGTATTTAAATCTCTAAATTATCCACTAACCTGTATTTTAATTCTCTATTCTCAATGAATTAATATCAATATCTATGAGAATTTTTAATTAACTACATTACCCTTAAAAAATAAATGTATTATTATAGTTTTCAATAAAGTGTTTAATTTTTTTTAAAAAACTCATCAATAGATCATTACTCTTTTCAAATATAAAAATAACATTATACATATATATGTATTTTTTTATCTATATCTATAATACTAATAAAAATTCCTTATAATTAAAAAAATTGATTTATTATTTTATCCTTATACATAATTTTAAATACCACACTGTCATTCTATAGTTAAATATCTAAATTGTCATCAAATTCTTATGTGTTTAAATCTCTAAATTACCCAGAACATATCTTTTAATTCCCTATATGTAAATATCAGTACCTATAAAACTTTTTAATTGATTACGTTACCCTTAAAAATAAATGTATCATTATAGTTTTTAATAAAACATTTAAAAAAATCTTCTAAAACTTTATTAATCTAACATTACTCATTTCAAATATAAAGATAACATTTGCCTACATATGTATATTTTTTTCATTAAAAATTTCAACCATTTTTTTTTTAAGATAAAAAAAATATTCTACATAATTTTTTAAAAATAATTTATGCTAAATCAACATAATTATTCAATCACAGTACATTTTTCATGTTTTATTAAGAGCGTATATAAAATATATTATAGTGTATTTTTAATTAAAATTTCAATTTTATAATTTTATTATTCTTTTAAAAAATATATTATAGAATAGAATATTATATTTTAGGGTTACTAGAATTTTTAGTTACTAAAATATGCATGTTTTGTCAGTTTAATTATCATTCTATCAATTTAATCCTTAAAGTATTTAGTTAATGTTTAAATGATTCATACACAAACAGTCTATTAAGTTTTTGACATAAGTGATCACATATTGGTCACGTGATACTATATGAAAGAATAACACATGGTCATTTTCGTCAAAAAACTTAATGTATCTGCTGGTTAGGGATTATTTAAACAAGAATTAAATATTTTAGAGATCAAATTGATAAAATTAATATATTGAAAAATAAACAGACAAAATACGCATACTTTAGAACAAAAAGTGATATTAATCCAATATTTTATCCCTTATTGACCTAACTAATTCTTAATTATAGTAAGCATTGATTAAAATATTAACAATTATTTTATTTTATTCAAAGAATTATAAGGTGAAACCTAATTAAATGAATTGTTTTTATTTTTTTCTTATAGTTAGAACAATGAATCGTTGCAAACAAATAAAATTTTCCAAATTCTACAGTATAGCATGAGCAATAAAAAAATAATTTTAATAAACTTTAGATGATATTTCATTTAGGTATGCATATACGTAAAATTTTTTATTAATATTTTATACTAAAAAATTATTCATGTTTAACAGATGTGGTGCATTGCTAGCACTTCTATAAATGCATATTTCAAAATACAAGGCATAAAATTAGATAGATTGGTAATTAAAGTAAAAAGAAAATAGAAGTATTAAAAGTAATTTTTAGGATAAATTGTACAAATAGTCCATGAGGTTTATCATTAGTTGAACTTGTGTTCTTGATGTTTTAATTTCGGCAATTTAATTTTTAAAATTACACATTAGACCAATATACTCCTTAACACTAACTGTCATTTAAATAATAGACGAAATATATAATGTGTCTGGGACACATGAGGGGTGTTAAGGGTATTTTACACTAATCCCTCCATCCAAGCAATATTTTTCCTTATTTGAAGAAAATTAAACATGGGATCCAAACACACCACTTCTCCTTCGTCCCTTTTTATTTTTTTTCCTCTTCTCTGATCTTTATGCACGGACGCCAACTCATTGTGGCTCTCTCTCTCTCTCAAACTGAAAACATCCTTAATTCAACGAGTAATGATATATATATCAAATTTATAATTCAAATTTACATTTCAAATCAAGGAGGATTATTTGATCAGTGGGTCCTATTTTAAAAGTTGATGAGACTCACTGATTCAATGGTCCTCCTTGATTTAAGATACAAATTTAGAATATATAGCACTACTCTAATTCAATACTCTGCAGCGACTATTATGTGAGGAGCAATGTTATAAAGATTTAATTAAGGAATCTAATTATTAATTTAATTTAATATAATTATTAAATTAGTTGTGAATTCTAATAAAACTTAATTCAATATAATCATTATATTAGTTGTGAATTCCAATATTAGATAAAATCCACCATTTTTAAGTTGTCAAGTTATCTTGAAATACTATTTATCTTAAGGATTTTCTATTGTATTGAATAATTTTTTTGGTACTGTACTTCCAATTACCAATTTTTATAGGGGTAAAGTTATAATTTTTAAAAGTTATAATTGTTCAAAGAAAAATTATTAACGATCACAGATACCTATGATCAATAATGTCTTTTAAAATTACAAATTATACATCAAATAAATTATAAGTTAACATTAAAAAAATTATATATATATATATATATATATGATGGTACTGATCTTCTAAGCTGGTGGGGCAGGCATGCTTTGACATTGGTGGAAGCTTAAATTAATGTGTGTACTTTGTGACTCTTGAACAAGAGACTTAAAAAGATGAAGGAAAGAAAGAAGCTTTTGGTATTCATTTATGTTCTCATCTTTCTCTTCCAAATTGTGAATCCAACAAATTCAGATAGACCATGGCCTCTGGCTAAGGCTAAGAGCAAGAACCTTGTGTTGGTTCATGGGGCATGCCATCGAGCCTGGTCTTGGTACAGGTTAGTGCCACTGCTAAGATCATTAGGACACATTGTCACAGCTTTTGACTTGGCTGCTTCTGGATTGATCCAAGGCAGTTGAATGATATTCCCTCAGTATCCGACTACATCGGTCCATTGTCGGACTTCATGGCTGCTCTTCCCCGGCATCAGAAGGTAGTACTTGTCGGTCACAGCCTTGGCGGCTGGGCAATTTCTCGAGCCATGAAGAGGTTTTCAAAGAAATTTTTTGTTGCTGTTTTTGTCACTGTTTTAATGCCTGGTCCAACTCTCAATATTTCCACCCTTGAGCAAGAGGTATTGACAACTCTGACTTATATACATGACATGAACTTGACTATACAAATTTTAACACGACGCGACACGGCCCATTGACAACTCTAATAGTCACTGGTTGAAATTTCTTCTTCTTCTTGGACATTTTTCAGAGGATGAGAAGACAAGGTCCTCCGCTGGACACTCGTTACACATATGGTAATGGACCTAACAACCCTCCAACCGCCTTGCTATTCGGCCCCTTGTTCTTAGAAGCAAATTTGTATCAGCTCAGCCCCATTGAGGTAAGCAGAACAAGACTGCTGAACAAATAAAGTCACTCATTACCAACGATCAAAATTTTATTTCGATGCATAGTTTTGATGAGCTTGAAAATAAAAATGATTCAAAAATAAGATGAAAATAAAAAAAAAATTTAAAAATTGTTTCCAAAATGTGAGTCAAAAATACAAATCAAAGGTCAAAACATGTTAAAACATCTTGAAACCCACCGAAATACGTCAAAATATAGAAATTTTAATATTGAATCAATGATTCGTTTCGATTTCTATTGAAACAAAAATGTTTTAGGCGTTTCGAAACAAAATTTAGTTCCTTACTCTTGGTACAAAATTTCATTATAAGCAATATCTCAAGCATAAAAGTCCACAAGGGTGAATTCGATTACGCTCTAACACCTCAGTTACATGAAACATTATTTGGTAAAATCATGAATATTTCCACCCATTTGTCCATTTCAGAGTTCTAATCATGTTTGACACGTTTGTCACAGGATTTAACACTTGCAACCATGTTGCTGAGACTGATACATTTGTAGTAATAAAGACCTGTCGAAGGAGCTAATGCTAATGAGCGAAGAATATGGTTCGGTTAACAGAGTTTTTATCATGGCTAATGAAGATCAAGTGATACAGATGGATTTCCAACAATGGATGATTGAGAGGAACACTCCCACAGAAGTCAGAAAGATAACTGGACCTGATCACATGGTTATGATGGGTAAACCAATAGAGTTATCGGTTCATCCCGAAGACATTGTTGAGAAATATGTTTGATTACTATATATTCCTAGTTTACACAAAATAAAGTCAATTTTCTCAAATAAATTGTAATATCAAAGTCTAGTATGGCATAAAAGGATGTTTACAAGATTCCATTCCAAGCATTTCTAGAAGTATGAAATAAATTGTACTATCAAAGTAAGAGTTTGTTGCCTTTTTTTTGGGTTGAAACGGTAAGATTGCTCCATTTGATTTGGAAGTCACGGTTTTAAATCGCAGAAACAATCTCTCTATTTACGAGAGTAAGATTATGTACATTTAATCTTCCCAAACCTCGCAATAAATGGAATCTCGTATATTGGGTACGCCGTTAAAAAAAAAATCGCTCATAAAGATATGATAAACTAGACGTGATGTGGGGAGCTTTTACCCCAACCCATGAGATTTTTAAAAAATATACATAAAAAAGAGTTGTTTTTAAAGTATTTCTCAAACTCAAATATTTTTAAAAATATCATACCAATAGACGTTTTTAAAAAACTTTTTTATTTTAAAAATTCACATAAAACATTGGTCGAACCAACACCTTCTTAAAAACATTGGTCGAACCAACGTCTTATGCGTGCACATCAGAGCTCCTTCCCTTCTTCCTTCTTCCTTCTTCGTTCTCTCATTTTCCCTCTTCCCCCAATATCAGAGACCTAATAATTCATTCCAATTCAACCATCCCCATCCCTAACTACTACCAGCAACACCACCACCACTCTATTCAAAAGTATAGCAACAACTCTACCATCACAATCCCACAACCCCATTACCACCACCATCTGAAACCCCCAACCTTAGCCAGCACCACCACCATCGAAAACCAACCCCCGACCCCAGCACCACCACCACCGTCGAAAACCTACCCAAGCACCACCACCAGTCCCGGCCTCAACCAGTCTGTTGCAGAAATCATTATCACCACCCCCCACCTTCGGAAATCCCCAAAATTCCCCAACCTTCACAAATCCTCAACACCACCCACCCACAGACACATTCCTCCACTGTTCCTCTGACAAAGCCTCCACCTCTGCTCTGACAACGCCTCCATCACCTTCGGTAATTCTCTGCAGATATTGAATGAAATAGGTTTGGATAAATTACATTCACGTTCCCTGACATTTGACTAAATAACACGGAGGCCCCCTGATAATTCTAAAATGACACGACAACCCCTTATCAGCGTCAATAGGTGACCGGCTTTAACATAAGTGATAAAATGACTTTTTTAACCCTTTAATTTAATTTAAAATAAATACATAATAAATAAAATATATTACCAAAAATTAAATTAAAGAGTCAAAAAAAAATCTCTCTCCTCTCACATGTCACCCATCCCTTACCCCACCTGACGACCACCACTTCTTCTCCTCCTCCTCTCTCTCTCCCTCTCTCTCTCTCTCTCAGATCCCCCTGATGGAGGTTGTGGAGTTGATGGTTGGTTTTGTGTGGTGGAGAGTAAAAATTTATGTAATTAGATAAATAATAAACAAAAATAAATTTAATATGGGATAATTGGATTAGGTAATTATTAAGGTTTTAAAAAATGATTATTTTTTAAATTGTACTAATAGTATCAAATATTATTTTATAAACAAAAAATTAATATTTTATTTATTAATGTAATATATTTAGAAATTAAACATTTAAGTGCTAAATTTTAATCTATAAATTTCATATATAGATTAAAAAAATAAATGAGAGTTAATTTGGAGAGTATTTTTGGTATTTTGAGAATTATAATTAATGACCTCAGTTTTGACTGTTAATAAGTCTAACGTCTGTTAGTTGAAGGGGGTGAGGATGTTACAAGTTTTAAATGTCAAGAGAGTTTGGTGTTATTTTTAAAATGTGAGGGGATGTCTATATAATAAAATCAAATGTCAAGCAGTGTGAATATAATTTACCCAATAAGTTTTTATGTTTCATGTAATATATTGAGTTGTGATATCCACTAAAAACATCAATTGGACTGACATTTTTAGGTGTGTTAAACGTTTTTATGTTGCAAAAGAAAATGTCAGTTGGTCTGATGTTTTTATGCTAAAAACGTCACTCCAACTGACGTCTTTTGCATAAAAACGTCATTCCAAATGACGTTTTTAAAAGTGCTTGAGTTTGAAAAATACTTTGAAAATAACTCTCTTTTAAGTATATTTTTAAAAAAACCCCATAGGTTAGGGTAAAAGCTCATGGCGAGGGCGTGGGCGTGGGCGTGCCCTTAAGCACTTTCACCCTCAAATTGAAAAAAAATAGAATTAAAAATTTATAAATATGAATATTAAAGTTCAAGAATATGTATTAGATACTCTCCTCACATATCGAATTATTAATAAAATATTTACTACTGTTGGATATTTTTCAGATATATTTTGAGTATGTGAATCTCTACAGTAGATTAATTCATCGTATACTTAGTGAGGTAACTTATATAAAAAACATGAATCATACGAATAGGGGTTCCTTGTTCTAGGGCGGAGCTAGGATTCTATCCTAGTAGAGGCAAAACCATGGATAAAAAATATAATTAACTCGTATTAAAAAATTCTACATCTCCATTAATAATGATTAAATAAGGTCCATATTTCACACAAAAAATTCCTTAGTATTTCAAGTTGATTGATATAGTCTGCCAAGTGAGATTGATTCTAGCTTCATACCTCTTCGGAAGCAAGACTTACTGGAAGCGCGTCATTAACACTCCAAAAATTTAACCTTACTTCTTAACACAATAAAAAAAAAACAAATACAGTAGCTAGATTAGTAAGGGTCGAACCCACAGAGAGTGTTCAAAATTTATTTTTTTTATTTATTATGATCAATTCTAGACTGAAATTCAATTAATAACAAAACAATAAATGGGGGGGGGGGGGGGGTTGGAATTCTGATCAAACTAATTGTGATTAAAAACTAAATTAATAACAGAAATCAATGAAGTAAAATTTCAGTTCTTCAGTTCAATCTTACCCTCGCAGTTTATGGAACAATCAATCAACTATAACATTATTTGACCCTTCAATGAATCTAATAATCCTAAGTAACATCAAGCTTTGCTACCCAAAATTTCCCTTAATTCCTCACTAATGAAACAAGCCCTTCATTAAATTCTAACCATTAGACAATTTAAAACAAATTCTCTAAATTTAATATAATGGCAGCATTAATATCAAGGAAATTAGATTATTCTAAGCAACAATCACACAAGTTCGGACTGTTTAACTTAGTTCATGAAAATCATGACAATAAACAAAAGCTTGTCCACAATCATCTATCACTATTTGTTACGACTGATTAGGAACAATATCAATTACGTAATATACTTCTTAAATCTAGCAATTGGTAATAATCTAATCAATTTAATAGGCCTTCATTAAATCAATCAAACCAAATATCAATAAAACAATTAAAATAGATTATCATGAATAGATTTCATAAGAAAAGGGAGAAATAATGTTACTGATTTGATTCAACCATCAAACTGCAATGAAGGTTTGAAATCCTGTAAACTGAATTGGAAAATCTAGCATGTCATGCTTGAATAAGAAAACCCTAATAATTCCTTTCCGTCTCCTCCTTTCCCTTTTCTTCTAGGAACCTTAAATACCTCTGGAAAACATATGACACTTCCCCCCCTCCCAAAAAAAAACGTGTACAACTCAAATCCCTACATTATAGGTATTCCTTATCAAAACAGATTGACAGAAATCCTGCTGAAAATTGCGAGCTGTTTTTCTATCAGATAACGACTGAATCTTGATTTGGGCTCTTGATGAAAGTTGTAGCCCTGGATGTGTAGATAAATTTAGGCTATTGAATCACCTGATTTAGGTTTCGAAAACTCGGGTTATGACTCACTGAAGTTTACTGGTCCAATCAGGATTCGAATCAGCTTTCCAAGCCCGACTTTGGAACAATGTTTGGAGGCCCAAACAAACTCGGATTTTTGCAAACCATACTTTCTGAAATGCTTAAGACGTCCTCTAAAAACTTCATGAAGACCACTTTCTCAGTCTGAAGCTCTAACGCCATCCAAACGTCAATTGAAGTTCCACAGATCAAACTGCCTAAAAGCTGGAAATTACAGAATAATACTCCATATCTATTCTTTTACTTTCAATGCTTCCCTAATTCAATAAATATATTAATCAACTCACTTAAATAGAAAATATGTCATAAAACTAAATATAAAGGAATTAGAAATATTAAATATTATGCTCTTATCACTTACTCCCTCCCATCCCCGGAATAATTGAAGAGAGTTATCTCCAGTCACCAACATTGACATAAAAAAAGTAGGAATAGATAAATAACACATAAATCGAGGGCTATGCGAATCCTCAGACATATATGAAATAGAATAAGATGGATCAAACTAATTATGGATGTAACCACAATTAACATCACTACGGTTAGGTTTCACCTATGAGAAATATGTTAAGATCAAAGACTTAATTAAAGAATAAAAATTAATTCAAAATGAATAAACAAAAATAATAATATTTTTATTGCACATTTCAAATCAGTCATATGTCAAAGAGAAACACAACAATGCTATTTCAAATTCCAATAATTGTCCATAATTGATCAATTCTAAAAGATATTTCAAAATAATTTCTTTTAATCTTGTTGAGAAATTGATGTTTTTAAAAAAGGCATAAACATTTTTAGGTTAACACATTTTATCATTTGCTATATATCTATTGATTGTGTTACTAGGTTTCGAGCTACTAATTTACAAAAAATGAATTAGGGACAATTACATAATTATTTTTAAGAAGTACAAGGAAGTGTATTAAATATGTATTCAATGGTCGATTTATATGAGTTGATGAATTTCTCATCCTTTTTATTTAGTCTAACAATAAAATATTGTAGTAGATTTAGGAACAATAAGTTAAATAGATCATAATTTTGTTGCTATCACTGTGTATATTTGTTAATTTCTCGAAACGTGACTGAATTCCAAAAACTATTAAACAAATTCTATGTCAATACAATAAATTATTTTAGTTTAACTCTGTGTTTTATCGCTTAATCCCTTATATACCTAGAATGCTAATAAGTCATAACACATCCATCCTACCATATAATTATAATATAAAACAAGACATAATTCAATAAGTTCATTCACAGATCTCAAATAGATTCATTCAACAACAGTTATCAAAATTCCTCGTCAAAACTATTCACATTGAATTCCTCTCTTAAATTTATCACTTTTCACTTATATTGCATCGTATCTTTAGGCACGAGTTATCCACCCTTAGTATATAAACATATCCTAGCTAGACATATATATTACTTTTTTAAAATTTTGTCACATTATTTTATTCATATCATATCGTAGTCATATTCTATATTCATATTCATGCCCCATAAAACCCTTTTTTTCATGCATATTTCAAATGATTTTATCCCGGCAATCACAAAATCTTTCCAGACCTTTAAATAGGTTGGTTGAACCAGATAGTACGCTATATGAAATGAACCCAATAAAACTTAATAATACATAGAATTTTCAACATTAACGTCAGTGTTTGGTAACTTTCTTCTCTTTCACTTTTGCTTCAAACCAATTGTTGAAAAGTAAACGCACATACTTGACACATATATTATCAAAAATTTCAGTCACACGTTTGCTATATCTTCAAAGATATTTTTTTTATTATCTAAAAGATATTTATTATGGTTCTGATCTTCTACGCTGGTGGGGCAGGCATGAAAGCATAATTTCAAAATCGACAGCTTCTTCTGTAGGCTATATAATTTGTGTTGGTATACCAACGGGTCTTTGGTTCAACGGTACTCTTTATTTTATGAAAACTTTGTCTTCTTGAGGTCAAGGGTTCAACTCCCCCTCTCCCTCCCCTCCCCCCCAAAAAAATAATATATATATATAAATGTATAATTTGTGTCGGTAAATTAATCTGTGTGCTTTGTGACTCTTGAACAAGAGTCTAAAAAGATGAAGGAAAGAAAGAAGCTTTTGGTATTCATTTATGTTCTCATATTTCTCTTCCAAATTGTGAATCCAACAAATTCAGAAAGACCATGGCCTCAGGCTAAGGCTAAGAGCAAGCACTTTGTGTTGGTTCATGGGGCATGCCATGGAGCCTGGTCTTGGTACAGGTTAGTGCCACTGCTAAGATCATTAGGACACACTGTCACAGCTTTTGACTTGGCTGCTTCTGGGATTGATCCAAGGCAGTTGAAAGATATTCCCTCTGTCTCCGACTACATCGGTCCTTTGTCGGACTTCATGGCTGCTCTTCCCCGGCATCAGAAAGTGGTACTTGTCGGTCACAGCCTTGGCGGCTGGGCGCTTTCTCGAGCCATGGAGAGGTTTCCAGAAAAAATTTCTGTTGCTGTTTTTATCTCTGCTTTAACGCCCGGTCCAACTCTCAATATTTCCACCCTTGAGCAAGAGGTATTGACAACTCTGACTTATATACATGACATGAACTTGACTATACAAATTTTAACACGACGCGACACGGCCCATTGACAACTCTAATAGTCACTGGTTGAAATTTCTTCTTCTTCTTGGACATTTTTCAGAGGATGAGAAGACAAGGTCCTCCGCTGGACATTCGTTACACATATGGTAATGGACCTAACAACCCTCCAACCGCCTTGTTATTCGGCCCCTTGTTCTCAGCAACAAATTTGTATCAGCTCAGCCCCATTGAGGTAAGCAGGACAAAACTGCTAAACAAATAAAGAGTCGCTCATAATTCTTGGTCAATGATCAAAATTTCGTTTCAAATGCATACTTTTGGTGAGCTTGAAAACCAGGGGCGGATCTACAGTGGGGGCAACTGCCCCCACTGCAATTTTAAAAACCTTTGAGATGTATTTAAAATTTTCAAACTTTTCGGATATTGCCCCCACTGAAACTTTTTAGAAAATTTAGGGGTATTTGTGTATATAAATTGTGGATAGTTCTTTGGTATTTTGTATATTGGTAGACATACAGGTTTAGTAGGGCCTATGTGTTGGCCACCAGTGATTTTGATAACTCTGTCCAACTATTGAATCCAACGCGTTAATTGAAACAAAGTCATCCTAGCCGTATATGACTTTCCTCTTGAATCAAACGTATCAAATGAAACCACAATTTGATTAACTCCCACCAAAATTGCATGGATGACAAGATTAAGGAATACGCCAAAAAAAGGGTTTGATTTGCGTCAAACTCGATCACCAAAAAGGGTTTGGTTTGGATCAAACTCGATCACTTTTCGTCAATGACTTCCATTTTTATATTTGGATAAATCTCTTTAACTATTCGGAGTGCTCACAAGTCATAATTTTATATGGCCAATATGTCACAAAATTAACGTAGAATTAAGAGAGTATTTAGCCTTAGTAAATTTAAATGATAAATGAGTTTGTTAGATCACCCAAACAAATAATTGAGTAGATAGTAAAAAAAATGAGAGTTTCTGAGATTTTATCAGAGTTTTTGTGAGAGATAATACATAAATGATTTCTTTGATTCTGTTAGTTTTTGTATTTTTTTTTTGCATTGTAAATAGGATTTGTATTATTCATACATTTTTTTTTGCTAACAATAGACATTAGAGCTTTGATAATTTGGATTTTAACTGAAATATGATGACTAGATCCGATTGTGTGTCAATTTCTTTAGAATATTATGCACAATGATCAATCTCTTAGAAAAATGGATAATGAGGAGTACATAAAAAAATTTAATTTTGAGAGATTGGTGTATTTGGGTGGGCTTGATTGACAATTTTTTTTCTGATATTTTTACATTATTTTTTTTACGCAGTTATTTTTTGTGAAAAAATGAAATATTATTATTTCCCTGTTCTTGGTAAAAAATTTCATTGTAAGCAATATCTCAACCATCAATGTCCACAAGATGAATACGATTGCACTGTAACGTCCTAATTTTCCGAAACATTATTTAATAAAATCATGAATATTTTCATCCATTTGTCCATTTTAGAGCTCTAATCATGTTTGACATGATTGTCACAGGATTTGACACTTGCAACTACGTTGCTGAGACCGATACGTTTGTACAGTAATGAAGACCTGTCGAAGGAGCTAATGCTAACGAGCGAAAAATATGGTTTGGTTAACAGAGTTTTTATCATGGCTAGTGAAGATCAAGTGATAAAGATGGATTTCCAAAATTGGATGATTGAGAGGAACCCTCCCACTGAAGTTAGAAAGATAATCGGATCCGATCACATGGTCATGATGGGTAAACCAATCGAGTTATCGGTTCATCTCCAAGACATTGCTGAGAAGTATATTTGATTACTATATAATTGTCGTTTACACAAAATAAAGTCAAATTTTCAAAAATAAATTGTAATGTCAAAGTCTAGCATGGGATAAGAGGATGTTTAGGGTTTAAGTCGTGAAAACAGTTTCTCTTTATAAGAATAAGATTACGTACATCTAACCTTCTTCAAATTTCACAATGACAAAAGTCTCGTGTATTGGGTATAGTCTTAGGAGAAAAAATGGCTAAAATAGGCTTTTCATTGCATTTGTTCCAAATTTGGTTCTTCATAATATCTATTCATTTGACTAATTTTTTTTTCGAGTTCTAAACCTTCACAATGTTCACAAGAATTGAACAGTGCACACGATCCCTAGAAAGAAAGATTAACACGTACATGTTTGCAGTCAAACTGAAATCACTCATGGATGAAATGTATAATAATTTTTGGGGTGGACACTTTAATTATATATTCTAATTTTTTTCTTTCTCATCAATTATAATAAAATAGTCATTTATATTTATTATATCATATTTGATACATAAAATCTGTTTAAGCATAAAAGAGCAAAAAAAAAGAATAATTACTACCACCTTAAAAAGGTAGGGTTAATTGTTATTAAACCTGGTTTGACGGGTTGATCCGGTGAACCGAAACTTTCAGACACTAGTTACTCATTCTTAGTACATAGACATATCCTAGCTAGTCATATATTACTTTTTTAAAATTTTGTCACATTATTTTATTTATATCATATCGTACTCATAAACCTTTTTTCAGACATATTTCAAATAATTTTATCCTGTCAATCGCGAGAATCTTTTCACACCTTTAAAAAAATTGGTTGAACCAGATAGTATGCTAGATGAAATGAACCCAATAAAGCTTAATAATACATAGAATTTTCAACATTAACACTATTGCTTTGAAGAGTAATATGTCTTCATGAGCAAAAAAAAAGAAGAGTAATATGTCTTCTTGTGGTTGGTAACTTTCTTCTCTTCCACTTTTGCTTCAAACCAACTGTTGCCGGAAAAGAATACGCACATACTTGACATATATATTAGGATATTTTTTACTCACACCCCTACTAATTTACTATATCTTTAAAGATATTTCTTTTATTATCTAAAATATCACTAACACCTCTTTTAATTTATATTTAAACACCCCTAACATTAACCACCATTTCTAACAAAAAAAAATATCCAAAATACCAAAATTATCACTACATAAATCCCAAATAATTTTTTTACATAAAATTCAAGTCAAGTCAATTCAAATTATTTTTTCTATATATTAAAATTTTGAGCTGATTAAAATTTATTTTTTTACATATTAAAATTTGAACCGATTAAAATTCGATTCGAGCTGATTAAATTTAATTTTTTTTACGTATTAAAATTTGAGCTAATATGAGATTTACCTAAGTTGTTAGTACCGATTAAAATTTGTTTCAAGTCGATTCACCTTTATATTTTTTTTTATTAAAATTCATGTCAATTAAAATTTGATTAAAGTTGATTAAAATTCATTTTTTACATATTAAAATTTTTGTCGATTATATTTTTTTATGTATCAAAATTCTAACCGATTAAAATTTAATAGGAGTTGATTAATATAATTTTAATCGGCTCAAATTTTAATACCTAAAATAATATAATTTTTAATCGATTTGAATTTTAATACGTAAATTTTTTTTAATTAACTTGAATATTGACCCAAATTCTAATGCGTAAAAATTTTTAAAGATAGAGGATGTGTCATTAAAAATATGTTTATGCAGAGAGGGTGTGAATGAAACTTTTTCAAAAATATATCATGAGTAATTTAATAAAATTACATTTTAGTTAACACTTTTAATATAGGTGGTATTAGTAAAAATTTTAAAAATAGAGAGGATGTCTTTAAAAATATGGTAAACTATTAAATATATGACTGAAATTTTTGTTATATATTAATGTGTTGGAAACCTAAGGTCAGTAGATTAATATTCATACATTTTCTTCCCTTTATCACTTAGGAGTCGAGTCGCCTTAGATGAATGCACGATTTTTAACGAGAGAAAGAAGCAAAGAATCATCTTTTCGCCTTTGACACACCCACACCCACACCCACGCTCACGCCCACTCTGGTCATATTTGCTCTATTTATCTTTTTAAAAAGTTGGGAAGGGGACAATCAGCGTAGATATGACCATAGGGTTCAACTACCACATAATATTTGATTTGATCTATAACTACTGACTTAAAAAAAATTCAATTCATCACCATAATCCCACTGAGAGGGGATTGACAATTCAATACCTTCTAAATAGCTTCTGGTTCACGCAACTATCATCTCAAGCAAGTTCGAACAAGTGACCATAGAGAATAAAGCGGGAGCTCTCCCCTTTTGCCGAAGTCAACTCGACTAAGTGGTCGTTGCTATTCTTTACGTTATTTAGTTACGTAAATTATATTCCGTCCGTTCCTAAATATCGATCGTTTAAAGTTTTTATACATGAATTAAGAAAGTTATTAAATAGCTCTAATATGAGTAAAAAATAATTGAATAAAATTAAAATACCCTTATTCAATACATATTGGGAATGAAGAGAATATGAAAGACACTTAGCCTACACTTAATCTATTAAACACTTATTGAAAAATAGAGATAAGGGTAAATTTGAAAGAAAAAATATTAATTATGTTTTAATTTCATAAAACGACAGGTATTGTAGAACAAAAAAAATTGAGTAAAACGACAGATATTTAGGAACGGAGGGAGTACAACAGTATCTGATGTGTCAGGCTATGATCGGCTGTGTCGATAGGTCAGAGCGTCCATGGGCCGGTCACAGAATTCAAAACTTCAGGCTGGAGCCGTTCCGGGCCAAGCCCATTCCTTAAAGTCTCTAGGTTGGATGGGTATTATTCAGTGAGGTTCCGGCGTCACAGCCCAATCCGTGGCCCCACAATTATTGTTGAAGGATGGGTTATTGAACAGGCCATGCCAATCCATAAATAAACTGTTTAAAAATTTTTAAAAAGTCAAAGTTATACCAAGTGTAATTTTTAATTTAAAAATTTATTTATAACTCAATTACTACTTATTGTGTATATAACTAGTTAATCTATAGAAAAATAAAAATAATTTTGTGGCTGTAGGTACTCTACAGTGCTAAAATTAGAGCATTGATCGCATAGTATTTATATTTTTAAATAATAATTTTTTTTTCCTTAATTACACAGTATAAAATGATAGTGCACAAAAAGAAAACAAGATGGAGGTAGATGTAGATTAATGAGATTGTCTGGCATTAGAAAGTGTTAATTGAAGTGTTAAAAGAGAAAATGATGTTTTTGGACAAATTTTTTTTTAGAATGAATTTTGTACCGTTAGATAAAATTGATGAAAATATAAACCAGAGCAATACTATAAATACCTAATTTAGAAAGTTTATGAGGGATCTAATTCATTACAACCATTACATTAATTGTGAATTTTAAGTCACTTTTAATGCAAGAACTACGATTAATTTGATCAATTGAGTATTTTTAATTAGATTAATCTTAGTTATTATTATCTATACTACTAATAAAAGTACATTAAATGGAAAAAAAAATTAATTCACTATTTTATCCTTATAAAAAATTTTATAATGTCACACTATCTTTTTATAGATAAATATCTAAATAACATTCACATCTTATGTATTTAAATCTCTAAATTACTCTCTAACATCTATTTTAATTCTTTATTCTCAATGAGTTAATATCAATATCTATGAGAATTTTTATTTGACTACATTACCCTTAAAAAATAAATATATCATTATAGTTTTCAATAAAATGTTTAATTTTTTTTTTAAAAACTCATCAATAGATCATTATTCTTTTCAAATATAAAGATAACATTACGCATATATATATATAAACAATCTCTCTTTACAGGAGTAAGGTTGCGTACATCTAACCTTCACAAACCCCACAATGACGGAAGTCTTGTGTACCAGGTACACTCTTAAGTTCTCTTCAATCATAATAAAATAATTATTTATATTTATCATATCATATTTGATACATAAAATCCATTTAAGCATAAAAGAGCAAAAAAAAAGAAAATGAATAATTACCACCACTTTAAAAAAGTAGGATTAATTGTTATTAAACTCGGTTTGGCGGATTGATCTAGTGAACTGAAACTTTAACCAGACCAGTTCACCTATACGAACGTTTGGGCAACAAAACCAGAGTAAACTCGTTGAATTGTTAAAATCGGAGGAGTTTAAGTAAACCGGTTGGATCAATTAAACTAATATAAAAGGCTGAGTTTTTCCCCTCTTGGGCATTTTGCATTAAATCATTTCAAAACCATTCATCTGTGAATTCTTTTCCCTTAAATTCATCCCTTCTTATTTACATTGTATCGTACCTTCAGACACGAATAACTCACTCCCTAGTACATAGACATATCCTAGCTAGTCATATATTACTTTTTAAAATTTTGTCACATTATTCTATTCATATCATATTGTATTCATATTTTAAACCTTTTTTCGGGTATATTTCAAATGATTTTATCTCGTCAATCATGAAAATCTTTCCACACCTTTAAAAACGTTGGTTGAACCAGATAGCACGCTAGATGAAATGGACCCAATACATAGAATTAATAATACATAGAATTTTCAACATTAACGTCATTGGCATTGCTCTGAAGACTAATATGTCTTCTTGTGTTTGGTGACTTTATTCTCTTCCACCTTTGCTTCAAACCAAATGTTGCAAGAAAAGTATACGCACATACTTAGACATATATATTAGGAAAATTTTCATTCACACCCCTACTAATTTATTATATCTTTAAAGATGTTTCTTTTATTATCTAAAATATCACTGACACCCTTTTTAATTTATATTTAAATACCCCTACCATTAACCACCATTTCTAACCCCCCAAAAAAAAAAATCATCCAAAATACCAAAATTACCACTACATAAATACCAAATAATTTTTTGATTAAAATTCGAGTCAATTAAAATTTATTTTTCTATATATTAAAATTTGAGTTGATTAAAATTTATTTTTTTATATATTAAAATTTGATTCGAGCTGATTAAATTTAATTAAGTTTACGTATTAAAATTCGAGCCAATATGAGCTCTACCTAAATTGTTAGTTCCGATTAAAATTTGTTTCAAGTGAATTCACATTTATATTTTTTCTTATTAAAATTTGTGTAGATTAAAATTTTATTCAATTTGATTAAAATTTATTTTTTACATATTAAATTTTTTGTTGATTAAAATTTATATTTTTTATGTATCAAAATTATGATTGATTAAAATTCAATGGGAGTTGATTAAAATTTAATTCGAGCTGATTAAAAATGCTTATGTAGAAGGGTAATTTAATAAAATTGTATTATAATTAACACTTTTAATATAGAGGGTGTCGGTGAAAATTCAAAAAATAGAGAAGATATCTTTAAAGATATGATAAATTATAAATGATATGACTGAAATTTTTCCTAAGATATGATAAATGCTAATAAGTGATAACACATCCATCCTACCGTATATTTATACTCCCTCTGTTTCTAAATATCTGTCGTTTAAAGTTTTTGCACAGGGATTAAGAAAACTATTAAATAGCTCTAATATGAGTAAAAAATAATTACACAAAACTAAAATATATTTATTCAATACATATCGGGAAGAAAAGGAATATGAAACACACTTAACCTCCACGTAATCTAATGCATTGAAAAGTTAAGGATAAATTTGAAAGAAAAAATATTAATTATGTTTTGGTTTCATTAAACGATAGATATTTAAGAAAGGAATGAATAACATAAAACAAGACAAGATTCAATAAGTTCATTCACACATCTCAAATAGACTCATCTACCGGCTACTAATATCTCTCGTCAAAATCATTTACATTAAATTCCTCCCTTAAATTCATCACTTCTCACTTAGATTACATCGTACCTTCAGACACGGGTTATCCACCCCTAGTACCCTAGCTGGTCATATATTAGTTTTTAAAATTTGCCACATTATTTTATTCATATCATATCATACTTATATTTTATATTCATATTCATGCCCCATAAAACCTTTTTTTCAGGCATATTTCAAATGATTTTATCCCATCAATCACGAAAATCTTTCCACACCTTTAAATACGTTGGTTGAACCAAATAGTACGCTAGATGAAATAAACCCAATAAAGCTTAATAATACATAGAATTTTCAACATTAACATCAGTGTTTGGTAACTTTCTTCTCTTTCACTTTTGCTTCAAACCAACTGTTGAAAAGTAAACGCACATGCTTGACATATATATTATGAACAATTTCAGTCACACGTTGACTATATCTTCAAAGATATTTTTTTTATTATCTATAAGATATTTATTGTCGTACTGATCTTCTAAGCTGGTGGGGCAGGCAAGAAAGCTTAATTTCAAAATCTACAGCTTCTGTAGGCTACATAAATTAGTGTTGGTAAATTAATCTGTGTACTTTATGAGTACTCTTGAACAAGAGACTAAAAAGATGAAGGAAAGAAAGAAGCTTTTGGTATTCATTTATGTTCTCATCTTTCTCTTCCAAGTTGTGAATCCAACAAATTCAGAAAGACCATGGCCTCAGGCTAAGGCTAAGAGCAAGCACTTTGTGTTGGTTCATGGGGCATGCCATGGAGCCTGGTCTTGGTACAGGGTAGTGCCACTGCTAAGATCATTAGGACACACTGTCACAGCTCTTGACTTGGCTGCTTCTGGGATTGATCCAAGGCAGTTGAATGATATTCCCTCTGTCTCCGACTACATCGGTCCTTTGTCGGACTTCATGGCTGCTCTTCCCCGGCATCAGAAAGTGGTACTTGTCGGTCACAGCCTTGGCGGCTGGGCACTTTCTCGAGCCATGGAGAGGTTTTCAGAGAAAATTTCTGTTGCTATTTTTGTCACTGCTGGAACACCTGGTCCAACTCTCAATATTTCCACCCTCGAGCAAGAGGTATTGACAACTCTGACTTATATACACAACATAAACTTGATTATACAAATTTTAACACGACACGACACGACCCATCGACAACTCTACCAGTCACTTGTTGAAATTTCTTCTTCTTCTTGGACATTTTTCAGTGGATCAAAAGATTCGGTCCTCAACTGGACAATCATTACACATATGGTGATGGACCTAACAAACCTCCAACCGCCTTGCTACTCGGACCCTTGTTCTTAGCAGCAAGATTGTATCAACTCAGCCCCATTGAGGTAAGAAGAACAAAACTGCTAAATAAATAAGGGTCGCTCATAATTCTTGGTCAATGATCAAAATTTCTAATCAGTGCATTGTTTTGATGAACTTGAAAACAGAAATGTTTGGGTAATATTTGTTTCCAAAACATGTAGAATCAAAGGTTCAAACATGTAGAAACACCACAAAATCTACCGAAATGCCACGAAACAGAAATTTTAATATTCAATTAATGATTCGTTTCGGTTTCAATTGAAAAGAAAATGTTTCGGACGTTTTGAAACGAAATTTAGTTCCCCGCTATTGGTACAAAATTTCATTGTAAGTAATATATCAACCAGTAAAGTCTACAAGGTGAATACACTTGTGTTGTAATGCCCCAGTTTCCCGAAACGTCATTTGATTAAATCATGAATATTTTCACTCGATCGTTCATTTTAGAGCTCTAACCATGTTTGACACATTTGTCACAGGATTTGACACTTGCAACCACGTTGCTGAGACCGAGACGTTTGTATAGTGACAAAGACCTGTCAAAAGAGCTAATGTTAACGAACGAAAATATGGTTCGGTTAACAGAGTTTTTATCATGGTTAGTGAAGATCAATTGTTAAAGATGGATTTCCAGCAATGGATGATTGACAGGAACCCTCCCACTGAAGTTAGAAAGATAACCGGATCCGATCACATGGTCATGATGTGTAAACCAATCGAGTTATCGGTTCATCTCCATGACATTGCTAAGAAGTATGTTTGATTATTATATATTCCTTAGTTTACACAAAATAAAGTCTATTTCGCAAATAAATTGTAATAACAAAGTTTTGTATGACATGAGAGGACGTTTACAAGACTTCATTCGAGGCATTGTACACGATCCACAGAAAGAAAGTTTAACAGTTACGAGTTTGCATTCAAACTTCCGTGGACACTTTAATGGCGTTCTTTCATTTTTTTTTCCATTCTAACCAATTACAATGGGTAAATTACATTGATACTCCTTGTAGATTGGTCTAATTACAGAGACACCCTATCGGTTTTCTAAAATGTCACTGGCACCCCCTTAGTTTACGTATGCATTTCACTTAGCACCCCTGTCGTTACAGACGTTACTGAAAGTTAAAAAAAAGATCTGACACCATGTAATATTGTATATAGAATGCCCAATTTATCCCTGAAGCCTGAAAAGTATAGGCACATACTTGACTTATATATTAGGAAAATTTTCACTCACACCCTTACAAATTTACTATATCTTTAAAGATATTTCTTTTATTATCTAAAGAAATCATCGAAAATACCAAAATTATCACTATATAAATCCTAAATAATTTTTCTACATAAAATTCGATTAAAATTCAATCCAATTCAAATTCATTTTTCTATATATTAAAATTTGAACTGATTAAAATTCATTTTTTTACATATTAAAATGTGAACCGATTAAAATTCGATTCGAGCTGATTAAATTTAATTTTTTTTACGTATTAAAATTTGAGCCGATATGAGCTTTACCTAAGTTGTTAGTGCCAATTAAAATTTGTTTCAAGTCAATTCACATTTATATTTTTTTCTTTTTTAAAATTCGTATCCATTAAAATTTGATTCAAATTGATTAAAATTCATTTTTTACATATTAAATTTTTTGTCAATTAAAATTTATATTTTTTTTATGTATCAAAATTATGACCAATTAAAATTCAATAGGAGTTGATTAAAATTTAATTAGCTTGAATAGAATTTTAATCGACTCAGATTTTAATACCTAAAATAATATAATTTTTAATCGATTCGAATTTTAATACATAAAAAATAAATTTTTATTAACTCGAATATTGACCTGAATTATAATACGTAAAAAAATTTTAAAAATAAATGAGGTCTCATTAAATATATACTTATCTTGAAGGGGTGTGAATAAAATTTTTTCTAAAATATATCATGGATAATTTAATAAAATTATATTATAGTTAACACTTTTAATATAAGGTGTGCCAGTGAAAATTTAAAAAATACAGAGGATATCCTTGAAGATATGATAAATTATAAAGGATATGCCTGAAATTTTTCCAATATATTAGTATGTGCTGGAAACCTAAGGTTAGTAGATTAATATTCATACCTTTTCCTCCTTTTATCACTTAGGAGTCGAGTCGTCGGAGATGAATGCATGATTTTTAATGAGAGAAAGAACTGAGAATCATCTTTTTGTCTTTGACACACCCACGCCCACGCCCGCCCACGCCCACGCCCACATCCACTTCCACTTCCACTTCCACTTCCGCTACAGTTTTAGTTACACTTTATTTTAACAAAAAAAAAGTTGAAAAGGAGACGACCAACGTAGCAACTCTCCTAGATATGATCAAATGGGTTTTCACCCTTCGCAAAATATTCGATTCGAACTATAACTATTGACTTAAAAAATGTTTAACCAGTGATCAAAACCCTACCGAGGCACGATTGAAAATTCAGTCGCTTTTAAATAGCATCTGATTTATGCAACTATTATCGCAAGAGGGTTCTAACACAGCGATTGAGAATAAAGCGGGAGCTATTCCCTTCTGCTGAAGTCAACTCGAAGTCAAAACTTCAGGCTGGAGCCGTTCCGGGCCAAGCCCATTCCTTAAAGTCTCTAGGTTGGATGGGTATTATTCAGTGAGGTTCCGGCGTCACAGCCCAATCCGTGGCCTACAATTATTGAACAGGCCATGCCAATCCATAAATAAACTTTTTAAAAACTTTAAAAAAGTCAAAGTTATTCGACCCATTCTTGAATGTCAAATGGGTAATTTCATTCTTTTTATTTCTCCATTTAAGGACAAGATCTCTTTAAGTTTTCAATAAATAAGTCATATTAACAGTTTGAAGTCAGTCCACATTTTTCAAAAAGAATAATAGCCATAAGTCGTTACTTGTCAATCTTGTCCACCCTGTTGCCAATTTTTTTATTTTTTTTATAATGATTAGGGGCTTATACATTTTTTAATTAATTTTTTTTTAATTCGTCAAAAATAGACTATTCACGTCAGAACTAGAATACTTATAAGGGCTAAATTTCTTATGACTTGAACCCAAAAAATTATCAAAATTTTAAATCAAAATATCTAAATTTACTGCTCTTCTATGCTATCACTTTAGCTATTTCTCATTTCATGTTGTCAATCTTCAACACATGCAAGACTTCATATACTAAGAGAGGGAGAATTCTATTATATTAAAAAAAAATTAACATCATATCGTCATTATAAATGTTGTTAATTTATTTTATAACTTTTGAGAATTATTTTATAATTTTTGTGATAACTTGCGAGATCAATCATAAGTTATCACAAAAGTCATAACTTTGTCAAAAAAATTTTAATTCAAATCTTGAGCATCGTAACTTGACCTAGAAATTTATTTATTTTTTTCTTGTAAACAAATCATAAAACTTGTATTAAACCTTATAAAATTTGGAAGTTTGGTACCCAAAAAAAAAAAAAAATCCATACCTACCATAATCTTTTCAAAGAGAGAGAAAGACCCCAGTTCCCAAAAATAAAAGACCCAAAAAAGATAGGATAAATTGCACTTTATCCCCTGCAATTACGAGTATAATTTCACTTTGTTCCTCTCTATTGATTTCAATACATTGGATCACCAACTATTCAAATTTAGTTGCACTTGCACGGATCCTTATTTTTTTGTTGAAAATTCAATGATTTATGCAAAATATCATGCATTCGAATACTTAAGGGTACAATAAGTTCAAATTAATAGTTGAGACAATAAAGTAAAATTAGGATTATAGTTTAAGGAATAAAAGGAGTGAATGGCACTTTGTGCCCTAAGAAAATTGAAATTCTCAAATTACACACTCGATCAGATAAAAAAAAAGTAGCAATCTCGTTTAAACGTAAATATCTATGGTCTATTCTGACAAATTTTATTGTTGTATTTATCATATTATTCTATTTCTATACACAATTATTTGCATAATTCTTAATTTTAAGTGTTTTTAATGAAAACTTCATACTCAATTTGCTTAAAACGGAGAACATTACTACCTTTTTGTTCGATTGATGATGCAATATGACAATTTCAATCTTTTAGGATATAAATTGAAAATGCAAACATCTTTCAGAGTGTAAAATGTCATTTACCCAGATAAAAATATGATTAACCCGAACATAAATGATTGGGTTAATAACATTTTTAATTCTTAAAATATGTATTTTTTGTCAATTTAATCCTCATTTCTAATTTTATCAATTTGATCTTTAAAGGATTTGATCCACGTCACTTTGCTTCCGTCCAAAATTTGTCTCTTGGGACTTCCAAAAGCCAGCTATTTTTTTCAAAAGCCAGATCTAGCTACATAGGTGATTACTACATATAGATGGTCTTGATTGGACAGAGAAAGAGCCGAAGGCAAGACTACTACAGAAGAACCACATTACTATTGCAGCAATGGTGTTCCAGAGATTGGAGATGTGCATGGAAGTTCTGAAGTTGGTGATTGAGTTTGTCATCGTCCTCGTCGGAGCAGTTGTTACAGTGATCCACCAAAGCTCGACTTTGTCAATGGTGAATCCAGCTTATGCTGTTCCTGCCTTCTATTTTGGTGTTCTTCCATAATGCATCTTCTTTTCCATCTAAGAGAGCCCATTGTATAGCTTCTTCGACTTGAATTGTCTTTCTTTCTAGATTCATTGATGCCATGGTTATCAAAATCCCAATGTTTTGGTAGCTTCCAGTGTGTCATAAAGTTCAGCATTCTGTACTAAATGTTTGATTGAATGTCCTACCGAGCCCTCGTGGGACCACACCAAATTCACTATAAAACGCGTAAAATATATAAATTAAACAAAAGAACACACATTATTACATGTTAGAGATAAAAACAAGAATGACACAATTATGATAATACACTTTTAGCAAAAAAAAGTGTCAAGCATAGCCTAAATCAATGTTGTTAATCACTACTATTTTACAAGCAAATACTAGATTCAAGGATAGCATACCATGAGAAAGAAGAAAAGGGAAAAAACTTCTTTTATTTCATTCATAGTGAAGCTGGTCCTACATGGAGTATATACAATGTTTCCAGAGTCCAAGATGTATATACAAAGGACACAATCTAAAGGAAGCTAAAGCTACTGCACTTTATTGATATGCATATTTTGTACACAGACTCCATACATTTAACCAGATTTCCCTGATACCCTAAAATGAGAGATTTGAATGTTTTCAACTTCAAGCTTCCTGAAATTACCGCGTTTTCGGGCAGCATAAAACTTCCCCCAGTTATATGCCTTGTACTTGGCAGGATGTTGCTTGTCCGTCAGCTCCTCCAGGGGTTCCACCATAGTGTAGTGTGCTGGGTGGAGGAAGAATGGAATGGTAAACCTGTCCCTTTCAGAATTCACCACCGCCCTGTGCTCCACACTTTCATACTTTTCATTGCTCCAAACCTATATATAAATCGCTTGTAAGTGTATCATAATAATATTACACTTTCTCTGGACCTCAGACAGCTTAAATAAAAAGTTCTGCATTCAAATCTCATCGCAACCGTGTTAAAATTATAATACTATAAGTGATACAGCGAAAATCTGGTCCACAAATGTGAGCTTCTTGAAGTCTATAATATCAATTTTATACCCTTTCTATATTTAACAAGGAGCAAGGAGAATACCTTTGAACTTCTTAAATGGTACCTGAATAATGTCGCCAATATTGACTACATATGCATTAGGAGTAGGTTTGACGCGAAACCACTCTCCATCTGTCTTTCTCTTCACTTCAAGTCCGCCAACATCATCTTGAGCAACGATGGTCAAGGCACCCGAATCCTTGTGTCGACCAACACCGAGAACTAGGTCAGGGGTGGGGCAAGGCGAATAGTGATTGAGTCGAACATAGGTGGTTTGGTGTTTAAAGAAGCCATTCAACCGTTTCGCTTGCAAGCCTAAGCTCATAGAGATGAGTTCCAACAACTTGTAAGCTAGTTTTTGCACTTCTCCAGCATAGATTTCACATGCCTCCCTGGAAGTGGTAATATATTAGAACACAGCTCAACTTGCAAAATTGGTACCGAGTAAGTCACTGAGAGGTTGTTTGAAAACTCAATTCGGCCCTTAATATTAAAAACAAACGTTTGATAACTGAAAGGGACAGTAGTTTATTGATAATTAAACAAAATTCATTATAAGAACCAAATCAAAATTGGACAAAGAGTCCAAACAATGAACATCACTTAAAAATTTAAGAAACCCTGACAAATAGAATACACTATTAAATAACACAGTCTTTCTACTTATCAGTTTGTGTTGTAGACTACACAACCACGGCCACCACATTATTACCGCTACCTTCATAGCCACCTCACCCCCTCCCCCACCACCACTACCTTTGCACCACCATCACCCCCATACTCTACCATCATCGCCACCAGCAATGGCGGTCATGGTAGTAGCTAGCAATGGTGGGATATAGATGCTGCCGACAATGGTTGTGGTGGAAGAGTTGGTGGCAATGATGAAGGCGATGATAAGGTGGTAATGGCGGGCGCCGGGGGGGGGGGGGGGGAGATAATGTTCCACGACAATGGTGGTTGGGGTATGTAACTATGTGGGATGGTGGTGGAAATAGGGTGGGGTAGTGGTGGCAGAGTGACGGAGAAAAGAGCAAAAGAAATAAATTAACACTTTTCAGAATTCATCTCATTGTACTATCAAATAGTTTAACTTTAATCTACTCTAGTGCTTCATTCTTACATATAAAAGATTCAACTTTCAGCATTTAAAATTCGACCACTTTGTGATTAATATTCACTTCTATCAACTAGACCTTAACATCACTGGTGTCTTGGCCTATGAATAGCTAAGGAGTTATAGAGTTGGTGTTTTAGCCCCCGAACTGTGAATTTTTTCACTTTTCTTGACATAGTGATAATTTTCGTCCAAAAAAGATAGTGAAACTTTGCGTTGTGTAATATAATTCAAGTAATTGAGGAGACAATAGATAAAGTGAAATCGAATCGCGACTAAAAACATAATCTCTGTATCACCTTAATTCGGGAGGATTCTCCGGCCACCGGTTACTCAACTCTTTCAAGCTTTTGTCATCAGGTTCATGCGACACCGGTATCAATGTTGGACTCTGCACTAAAAAATCAAAAACCTCTTTCCAGTCTCTCACATTCTTGGTATGCTCTCTATTATAATAACCCACTGGGTTCACCTCATCTTTACTCACCCTCTTCTTCTCCTCCTCGGACAGACCGAAGAACTTCGCCCCCGCAATCTCGAGGTTTCTCCGGCTCTCTAATGGAACTCCATGGTTGATTACTTGGAAGAAACCCCAGTTCTTGCAGGCATCGCCTATATCGGCGATGAGAGATTCCATTAATCGATCAACTGAGTTAGGGTTTGGAGAGATTAGAATTGAGAGATCGATCAATGGAATGGCTTCAGCTTCGAGGGTAGAGTGTTGGGGCCTGTGTTCGATGGGTAGGATGAAGGATGGGTCTACTTCTCCCATGTCTGAAATTCTTTGGCGGTGTGAGAATGGAGAGGAGAGAGATACTTGTACAGTTGTACTAGGGTAGGGGATAATCTCAATCTATTCATCTACAACGTAATCAGAGCTGTAACATATATGCATCGAACCTGGACACATTTGGTACCATGTTTGCACTTTGTCTTATTCAAATGCCTTGTACCGTTGTCCGGTTCTGTTTTGGTAGCATAATCATGTACTAGGGATAATCTCAATCTATTTTTATGTACAATGTAATCAGAGCTCTTATCTATTTATTTTTTAACGGTAATATAGTTAATTAAAATTTCTCATAAATATTGATATTAATTTATTAAAAATAGAGAATTAAAATAAATGTTAGGGGTTAATTTTGAGATTTAAATACATAAATTGTGAATGTTATTTAGATATTTATCTTTGAAAATATAGTGTAACATTATAAAAAATTTTATAAGGATAAAATAGTGAATTAAATTTTTTTTATTTAAGTTATTTTTATTAATGGTATAGATAATAATGACTAAGATTAATCTATACTATTATAAAATGTGAGTAAACTTGAAAATTTTTGTATGTGTTTGGTTAGCTTCTGCAAAACAATTTTTTGTTCTCAAATTTTAAAAACATTCAAAATATGTTTGTTTAACATTTTGTTCTCTAAATTTTGAGAAAAAAAATGAGATTTGAATCAAAAAAATAGAAAATAAGTGTAGCTTATTTTCAGAGTTTTCTTTGAAAATTTTGGTAATAAGGAGAATAATTTTGGATGTTTATATATATGTATATATACATAAATACGTTTTATATTATATTATAACTAGTCATAACTTTTGCCTAAAGGCACGATAAAATATAAAATTTGAGTTTTCAAAAAATTGATTCTACTATATTAAATTTTTTCAAAATATATTAATTACAAATTAATCAAATATTAAATAATTAAATATATAATAGAAATAACTGATGTGATATTTTTAAAGAAAAAATATATAAATAATTAAACATGTGATAGAAATGAGTGATGTGATTTAACGTTTAAGTCTAACAAATGAATGATGGATGAGATAAGTGATTGGTGATGGTTTGGAGAAGAAAAATATGACTGAAAAAAATTCAAATACACTACTGTTTTATTTTATATATATATATATATAAACATGTATATATAAATACGTATAAATATCTGTATAATAAAGTAACTTACAATTTAAATTTCAAAAGATAAACAAAATGACTTTTACTATTTCCGATTGAAATCACTTTAAATTTTACTTTAAAGTTAATCTAACGGCTAATATTAAAACTCCAAACTTAATATGAAAAAATAGGCTCCTAAAGGTGTATTTGTAGTATTTTTTTAAAAGTGTTTTTAAATTATTTCTCATAAGTACTTTAAAAAAAAAATATTATTTTGAACTGCTCCATTACTACCTTTATCACCATCACCACCACCGCCACCCACCACCGCCACTACCACCTCCTCCGGGCACTGCCACCTCCACCTCCACCGTCGCCACCACCATCACCACCGTAGTCGTCGTCGCCGCCATCACCACCGTCTCCACCCCCCACCCCTACCATCGCTACTATTACCATCACCGCCACCTCCACCTCCACTTCCACCACCGTCGCCATCTCCACCATAAGTCATCGCCGCCATCATCACCACCACCACCACCATTATCGTTGCTGCCGCCGCCACCACCATCATCGTCGCCGCCACTACTACCACTATCACTGCCACTACCACTACCGCTACCACCACTGCCACCACAACTATTACTGTCTCTTATCACCACCACTATCTCTCATCCCCCACTACAAATCGATGTTTAAATTTTTTTATTTTTTTTTATGTTTGAGATTTAATTTTGGATATGAATACAAATATATTTATTGTTTACGATTTTTTATTACTTTGTGACTTCAGACACAGGCAATAACTAGTATATATATATATTATGAAATTGTCAATATAAAAATAATTTTTTATATTTTTTTATTAATATTTGAATTACTGTTTAAATATATATTTAGACTGTCCAAACAGATTTATTATTTTCTGTATTGTAAAATTATTTTTGAAATCATCTAATCAAACAAGTTTTTTATTTCAAAAAATATCAAAACTACATTCTCAAAACTCTATTTAAAAACTATTTTCGAATACTATTTTTTAAAACGCAAACCAAACAGAGTCTTTTATTTTCTTGTTTTATCCCTATTTATTCTGTTAAAGTCATTTTTGTCCAAATGTATTACTGTGAACACAGTACAGTTAGTACACAATATTTTACATTCAATATGTTCACTGCGCATTCCATATCAGTTGCAAAAATAAATAAATAAAGCTTCTCACCGATCAGCCCCCCACATATCCTTCACTCTATCTGCTACCTCAATGGCGCCTGCCAAGTTAGAGAAATCGTTTCAATGGAGCCTCTGATTGACTCTGATCCAAAGCCGATGCATCCGATCTCCCCTTGAAAGATAGGCACCACTATAATACCATCAACATTTTGTTGTTTGCCTCCTGATGATGATAGTGTGATCTGTTTGAGTAGTAACTTCCAGGCGGTGATGATGCATTTGAATAGTAACTTATAAATTCTTATGCTTTTTCCTCTTCGTTAATATACATATGCTGCCCTGTTTACACATTCGGCAAAAATAAGTTTTCGAGGTATTTTAAATTTTCATGAGAAAAATTTTGAGGGTTTATGTTCATGTCATTAGAAGCAAATGAAAAAACTCGTGCTCATCACGGAATTGAATTCATTAAGACTTGGAATGTGATACTTTGAATGGTTAGAAAACTAAGATCCACCGTTGGTGTTTTCGTTATGGTTGCTATATTTTCTACCAATCATTATGTTCTTTCTTTTCTTTTTTGGTTCGAGTTAAAAGTTACATTAAATTGAATTCTCGGATTTAGTGAAATTTTAGCGGTGGGCTTAGTTGATTTAGTCAATCACAACACGACTTAGTTAATTTAGCGGATCTCTAACCCTTTGCCAAACGTGTGGTACACATAATCTTACAGCTGCAACTTTTTATTGTTCATTTTGATACTTCTTTTCTGCAAATGGGATCCTTAGGTTGAGTATTTTTAAGTTATTTTAACGCGTAATTGAAAATCAGCCATAGTATAACTTGAAAACATCTTTTATTTTCCACCACTTCTAAGAAACCGTAGTGACTCACAACCTCCATCAACTTGACACAGCGAACTCTTAATTTTATATGGTTATATACATAAGCAACAATCTTCTTTTGGAAATTTGAGTAATGCATTTCCCCCTTTTTGGATTAAAAAATCTTAATACTCCAAAAACTCAATTACTTATGTTTCCTTAATGGTATAAACTGTGATTATTGACCTATTTGGTATCAGGTATCTCAACTCCTCATTGACGCCAAAAATTACTCCAATGCAGTTGATGGGATGCTGCGTAGATCAAGCACACAAAGTCCCATTAAGTGTTTCATGACTCCATTTGATTTGATGGCCCTTTCTTTCTTTCTTTCTTTTTGTCAATGTCAAGCATTTTAGGTAGACCAACAGAAGAAACCTAACTGTAACTAATAATCCTACACATTTAGAATGTTTTTAGTGCTCATGAAAGTACTCTGAATATTTTTTTTTTGCTAGAAAATGATTGATTGTAATGTTGGGTTGAATGACTAAATGTATGTCCACAATCAGTGGCACACTTCAGTAAGGATGGCAAACCGATGATTTTGAAAGGGATGGAGTATAGGAACATCTCCTTTGTGCCTATTGTGCTCATAATGAATTTATCGCAATTGATCATTAATGCAATGAACTTAGTTATTTTCAATCTTTTAAGTTCTTATTTGCTGCATGCAAAAATATTTAGTAGAATAATGGAGTTTCAAGTTGTGCAACCACAAGTGCAATGAAGGGTGTCCCGTACAATGTATGTATACATCAACAAGAACATTATTTCTTCACATTTTATTTGAGGTAAAAAAAAATTGGTAGATATGGTTGGTGACTTAGCAAAGATAAAGAAATATTTGTCATCATATATATTGGTTAAAAAGTTACAAAAATAAAAAGCATAACTCAAAATGATTCACGTGCAAACGCACCAACTAGTCTAATAAAAAATACTCATTGTATCAAATTAATCGTACTTCTTGCATTAAAAGTGAATTAAAACTCACAATTAATGTAATGGTTGTAATAAATTGGCTCCATCGTGAACATTTCAAATTAGGTGTCGATAGTATTGCTCTGATATATTTTTCATCAATTTTATCTAATGGTATAAAATTCATTTTAAAAAAAAAATCGTCCAAAAAACATCATATATTCTCTATTGGGACTCCCAATGCTAAACAATTCAATTAACACTTCGTAATATCAAACAATCTCATTAATCTATATCTATCTTTATTTATTTTCTCGCTGTGCACTATCATTTTATATTGTGTAATTAAGGAAAAGAAATTTATTATTTAAAAATATAAATATTATACGATCAATGCTCTAATTTTAGCATTGTAGAGTACCTTCAACCACAAAATTATTTTTACTTTTCTATAGATTAACAAGTTGTATACACAATAAGTAGTAATTGAGTTATAAATAAAATTTTAAATGAAAATGCTATTTAAACTTAATCTATCACACCTTTATCACATGTGTTCATTTTACAAAATAAAAATAAAAATTATTACAACAATTATTGGCTTTGAGGTTAATTTTGTCGTAATACGAAATTAATACGTAAACTATGAAAAAATTGAATCCCATTAACTATGATTCTATGATAATAGTGTTTACTACTCATCTTGTTTGGGCTAAAGCCTCAGACTAACCCAAAAGATGATATATTAACCGTTATTTCAATATTTTTTTTATTTAGAACATGATCTCGATACAATTTTTTTTTTATATGTTTTTTTTTTTCTTTCTCTCCGTGCTTTCTCCCTAATAATTTCATTCCCCAATAATATTTCCCTACTTAATGTTTGTTTTATAAATTAATGTCAGGTTAAGTTAAATTAAAAATTAGATAACTAATGTCAAGTTAAGTTAATTAAATAATAAAATAACTAATGTCAGGTTACCGGTTCAAATCTACTATCTAACAGTTGTAATAATAATAATTAAAAAAAAATTAAAATTGTTAGTATTATTTCTTTCAATAGCATAAGTGTTGGTTGTTACACTATTGAAATGTCAGAGAATTACTGATGTGGGGGGTGTGGCCAAAGAACAAAAACAAATATTTGAGGGTGCCATTAAAATTTACTTAAAAAAATAACTATAAGTTTGCTTTTGAGTATCATTTAATATTTAAAACATAATTTCGTATTTTCTAACATAATCCATTTGCTCCTTTAGATGGTTAGTGGACTACATTCAATACAATAATTCCTTAATAACCCATATACAATTTTTGGCCTCATATACATTCAATATAAGAATCTTAGTCAATTATATTTTTATTAGACGACTTAAATGACATTTGAATAAAATAAGCAGAACGGTTAAAAATCAATTTAAGTATCAAGTATCCATTATTAAAATTTATATTCAAGCAAACATTGTCTTAGTGATGTGTTGTCATATATGCGTTGTTAGGTTTGACGAAAACTATAAATTTTACATTTTAGTCACGAGTTGACTATGGTTTGGTGCAAAAGTGTAAAACATATGGAGGTGGTGTGTGTTTTACCCTAATTGTAGAGGGGCTTTTTTTTTATATAATTAATCCAAATATATATGAAGAGGGTCTTACTCCCCCAAATAGTTGAATTTCTGATCATGATAATCTCTATGTAATTAATGAATATCTTAGGGACTGATTAGTTTTGGAGATTACTTGAATATTATGTGTGTGCAACTTTCTCTGTGTTGTGTTGATATATTTGACGTAACAAGAATGAGGTTCAATTCTAACATAGGTGAAATGACCAAGTGGGGTTTAGTCATATGACAATAAAGTTTATTTTGAATTCTGGTCAGGGTGTTGGCTAGGAAAGTACACTAGAATGGTGGGACCTATCTGGATCCTTTAAGGTTAATTTTGATGGGGGAGTGTTTGACATAGAAAGTGCTATTGGGGTAAGGGTGGTTATTCGCGATGAAATTGGGTCGTTCATCGCTGCGATATCTAAGAAGTTAATTAGTTTTGTAACACCCCGTATTTTCTTTTATATATGTATATAGATATATAGTAAATAATTGTGTTAAAAAAATGTGGATATATCTAGTGATGTGTGTTTGAATTTGGTAGATTAGAAAAGTAGAGATTTAAAATGTTAGTAAAAATAATAGTTGAAATTTAGTTTTAATAAGTGAAAATATAAAATTTAGATCCTAGAACTTGTATTAAATAGGTTTGATGTAGAAATATGTGTTTGGGGAAGTTTGGGATGGATTTGGTTGTCTTAGGAATAGATTGAAAATGGAAAAAGAAAGAAAATAGATTGTGAACAGTGCACTGCTGTAACTTCAAACTCGATTTCGACCTTGATGCAATCAATATCTCTTAAAATTCAAAACATGAAAATTTTAGAGCTCTTTCGTATTATTCCATAGCATCTTGAATCATTTCAATCGGAGCTTGGATGAGAGAGTTATGCTCAGATAACGAAACGGTGTCGAAATAGTCCAATTAGTTTTGTTTTGTATTTAATGTCTCCGTTTGCATCCTAAATCAAAATATAAGAATAATGAGTACTTTTAGGCTTCAAATAAGTATAAAAGGCTTTAAAAAACACCCTTTTATCACCTTTTATTTGCAAACATCGCAAAACTTTATCAATAGTCAATTCGGATGGATAAAATAGAAACTTTAGTGTTTCGGGTGTACGTTGACTTGAGTTTTGAGATAAATCATAAAAATAAATGTTTTTAGGTTAAAATAACATTAAAAATGAATCCGAAACGTCAACAAACCTTAGAGTAGTTATATGGATCAAATTGGAGATTCTTAGTGGCAAAATCGTAAATTTGGAGAAACCCAAAACAGCTTGTAAATAGTATTTTTCGGGGCTGCTATGTTTTAAACTCATTTTCACCTCATTTGCTCTCATTTCCTTCATTCCTCTCACACCCCCACACCTCTTGAAACCCTAGAGAGCATTAGAGAAAAAGAAAGGAAGGCAAAAACAAGAGATTTAAGGGTGATTTAAAATCAAATATTCTGGTTCTTCACACCAAAGCTAAGGATTCAACGTAGGAGTTTTCTCTTATTCACTTACGTTGAGGCTAGAATATTTATATATGTATGTTTTGGTTATCAATGATATATATACACTATGAAATCATCCTCTCTTAGGCTTTTTGCAAGAATTACATGTTTTGAACAAAGTAAAGTTTAATACTCATGAAATCTCCTTTCTAGTTTTAAAACCTTAATTTTTGGAGAGTGATGTATTTGCTTCCTAAATGCTTTCTTTATTATGAATTTCGAAATCTTAGTGCTTTATGTTGGGTAAAAAAATGATGTTATTGTGATCTCATGTATTTTCTTAGTTGGTTGTGGAATTGTTATATAATATATTTTAGAGATTTTGGATAGATACTTATAAATTGAGATAAATGTTGGAATTGTATACTTGGTTGAGTTGTTTGTGATGCACATGAGTGAGAGGTTCCTTGTAAGGATGTTCAACCCTTCCCAAGAGGTTCCCGATAAGGATGCTTAAGAAATAATGTAGTGATTAGTGAGAGATTTCATGTAAGGATGTTTATCTATTTTCAAGAGGTTCCTGGTAAGCATGTTTGAGAATCAAAGGCGACCTAAAAGGGGGGTGGAGTTTACCACAAAATATGCCACCTACCGAAAGAATTGTTGGGAATTAGTTATGACAATTAATGGTTATTATTTGTATGTGGTACTCGTTTATTCATTTAAGTAATATTTTCAAATAAACTTGAGATTCTTTTTGAATGTCACTGCTTTATTTAAAATTATGTATCTATGTTATGTTAAAATTGAGACCGACTGTTTTAAATGTTTTTCTAAATTTTGTATGAGTTTGGGAGAATTTTTCTACAGAGCTTCGTGCTCACCCCCTATCGTTAACATTTTTCAGATTATCTGCTTGAGGAGCGTAAGGGTCGAGGAGTCCGCTACTTGGGAGACTTCACTAGATGAGAGGGTAGATCCTGAGGTAGACGCATAGAGCGACCTCCTTTCCTTTTGTACTAAACTATGACATTCTTTTGGAATATTGTGTAGTTTAGCTTCTTTTGTTTATTCTGCTGCGCTTCTTTAATTAATTTTTGAGATGTAATAGTCATGACTTTGACTTATTCTTTTAGATAATGTTGTAAATATTCGTGGATGACAAATGAAATCTTGTTTCTTAAGGAATTATATTAGTGCTATCATGATATGAATGATTTTAGAATGTAATGTCGTCCAAAGTGTGTTTTGGGGCGTTACAGGTTTGAGAGAAGTTCAAACTGCAGAGACTATGACTACAAAGGAGGTTGTACTTTTTGCTAGACAAGTTGGGTGTGACGAGATTGTGTTGGAAGAGAATTCTTCTACAATCATGAAGATGATTGACGATAATTCTGAAGATTTTTCTTCTATTGGTGCTATGATTGTAGATGTGTAGCGATTTTTTTGTCTGTTTATTTTTATTCTTTGTTCACTATTAGATGATCAGGAAACAGTGTGGCTCACCAACTGGCTCGAAAGGTCTGATTAGGTGAAAATATTGATGTTTGGGAAGAGATGACACCAAATTTTTTGATATCATCTCTTCTCTCAGATTTAACTTCTTAATAAATTTCTTATCGTTTCGACTCAAAAAATATATATATATAATATATAAATATATATATATATATTCAAATTATGTGTATTTCTAAACACATAGTTACTAAGTAAACTCAAAATTTATGTAATTACTCGTAAAATCAAGTCAATTAGATAGTCTTTTACGAAATTAGAACTTATTTGAAAAATTATAAATCGAATTATAATCACTTTTGTTATATTTTGACCAAAAGAGAAAAAGAGAAAAAAAACTATCATCACTTCCACAGACACACGTTTGAAGAGTGAGGTCCAAGACTCAATGACGTTTATTACAATATAGCCGTTACCGTTGTCATTATTGTACGTTATATTTGCCCTTTCCTTTTCTTAGTTTTTTTCAAACCAACCCATGTGAAAATTCAAAACCCAAACCCGCGGTGATGTCTAGGCCGTCCAATTTCAAATCTAAATGAAATCTCAGTCGTCCGTTTCTAAACCTCCTCACTGCTCAGAGTTTAGAAACCCAAACCAAGAAATTCTATACCGTTAGAGAGAGAGAGAGCGAGAGATGATGTTCGGTTGAATCAAGATCCATTGTCATTGAGTTAGAACCCTAGAAAGAAGCAGCTAAAAGATTAGAACCACCTCTCTTTCTTCTGACAACGAAGCAATTTCAGGGGTTCTCCAGTTTCGAATTCTCTTTCTCACATCCTCTTTCAGGTAAGTACTCCAACACAGCCTTATCATCAGTTTCCAAATTCATAGCTTCCGCTTTTTTTTTTTTATTAATTATTGTTGAACTTTCCAATTCTCATACTATTGTATCCCAGAATGTTGAGGGACTTCAAATTCTTGCGGAGAAATTCCGGTAAGAATCAAAATACGGAAGAAATTGAGAATGTACCTGTAGTTGAAAACCCTAGGCATTCATTGGGTTCTCAGACCAGCATCGAGTCGTCGAGGCCTCCGTTAAGCACAATTCAAGAACCGATTCAGGGTTTTAAATCTAGTGTAGGACATGATGTGGGTGGAAAAAGTACAAAAATAGATACAACACCCACTAAGTCAAAAGGAAGGTATTCCGATCCAGGAATGCCAGTTTTCCGTACCCCGGAAAAGCAAGGAGTTTCAGGGAAGAATCGATTTGGGTGGGCTCAGAAGAATGAATCAAGCTCAAATTCCATGGAATTTCGTGACGATGGAAAGTTTGCGAATGGGGGTTTTACTCCTCGATCAACTAGGACTGTGGGGAGAGCTAATTCAAGTTATTCAGAGTGCAATTCTACACAGAGCACACCAACTAAGAGTGTGTCCAAGCCTCCGAATCCAGGATTTTGTTTGACCAGTGGTTCTAGACCTCCTGTCAATGGAGGTGCTCGTATGGCCAACTTTGTTGCATTGTCTAAAGGGGTCCCAATTTTGGGTAATTCGTCAACTGTAGTTAACACAGTTGATGTGCCCCATTTTGAACTCAAAGAAGATCCATCATTCTGGATGGAGCACAGCGTACAAGTAAGCTCCTTCTTTGGTGCCCAATTCTGTTTTGCAGAAACTTCATGTTAAAGTTTTATCATTATTGAGGTATACCCTGAATTGGGTTTTTTTTTTTTTTTTTACTTTTTATTTATACAATTGGAGCTTAAGTCGGTGGTTGTCAAATTTATACAGGTTTTGATACGCGTCCGCCCCCTAAATAACACGGAGAGGAGTACCTATGGTTACAATAGGTGCTTGAAGCAGGAGAGTGCACAATGCATCACCTGGATTGGGCAACCTGAAACTCGATTTACATATGATCATGTAGCATGTGAAACTGTAGATCAGGTCTTGTGAGAAACGAAGTAACATTTCATTTAATTGAGAGATTCTTATCTATTTCTGTAAAATGCTTAACTTCATGAATTTTGCAGGAAACGCTTTTTAGGATGGTTGGTCTGCCTATGGTGGAGAATTGCTTGTCTGGATACAATAGCTGTATGTTTGCCTATGGGCAGGTATTCATGAACAATGGGTCAAACCTCTACATTATGTAATTACTTGGTTTGAAAAATTCTTGTTAGTCAGAATTGTATTAAACATATGGGCAGGTATTTCATGAACAATTGGAAATTATTGTTAATCAGAATCATATAGACCTACAAGCAAGTATGCAAACCTACATACCATAAATCCACTCATGTTTTGGTGCTAAACTGGACAAAATTCAGTCATATATGCATTCTTGATTGAAACTTGAGTATAAATTCATTTTATACATGTTTTAACTTTTAACCTGGTTTTGCTAGAGAAGGAAGTATTTGATGATATCTGCTTTATGACTTACATGGTTTTCTGTGCATGCGAGACACACCACACGAAAATAGTCTTGACTTGTATAAAATAAATTATCTTGCATAAGCCAACTCACGTAAAAATGTGATGGAATCTAGGGTGGCTTGGATTTCCTTCTCCCTGCCTCAAAGTCTCTTATGTGTTTCAAGTACGAGTAGGCAGGACTACAGGATATTGGTGTCCTTCCTTCTAGGGTTGCTTCTAGTCATTTTACTTGTAAAAGTTCTGGACTTTATTCGAGTTGCCTAAGTAAAAATATTCAGTTTATGACCATCTTCACGCAATTCCATCGCATTGTCTCATGTTTTTTTGGATATCACCTATTTACGGGCAGAATCATAGTTATTTGGGCTTTTGGTTTGGCGGTGGTCCATAAACTCAACTAAGATGAGCCATCTCTCAAAAGGTTGTCAATGGATGTTGGTGGTTTATCATCATCCACTCTGGCTCCTTTTCTTTTCGATTTCCGTCCTAGTCGTTTTTATTTTATTTTAACGTGGATGAGTTTGATTATGTAGACGGGCAGCGGGAAGACTTTTACAATGCTTGGTGAGATTGAAGAGTTAGAAGTTAAGCCCAGTCCGAATCGTGGAATGACACCACGTATATTTGAGTTCTTGTTTGCAAGAATCAGAGCGGTAACTTTTGCATCCTTGCTATATCAAGACCATCTTTATTTTGGACATTAGCATCTTAGTTGCAGTGACAACATGCTTCCGTCATATTTCTCCACATGCAGGAAGAGGAAATCCGAAGGGACGAGAGATTAAAATACAATTGCAAATGTTCTTTCTTAGAAATTTACAACGAACAAATTACTGATCTCCTTGATCCTTCGTCCACAAATTTGCTAGTAAGTTTAGCTCTTTCTTAAGTTTATGAGCACTGGGATAACTTAATATATTATTGTTTTCTTATGCATATTTTCTATTTGTAGCTGCGAGAGGATATTAAGAAGGGTGTGTACGTTGAAAATCTCTCAGAATTTGAAGTCCAGACTGTTGGTGACATTCTTAAGCTTCTAAGTCAGGTGACCAGTCATTTGTCCTTATAGCAGTTCAATGTGGATATGTCTTACTTTTATTTCACTCTTATTCCGCGCAAGTGAGCATGCATACTTGAACTAATTTGATATGAATAACCAAGTGCCTATGTGTAAACCCTTGATTTTTTTTTCATAGGGTTCTTCTAATAGGAAAGTTGCTGCCACGAATATGAATAGAGAGAGCAGCCGTTCCCACAGTGTATTGACATGTGTAATTGAGAGTAGGTGGGAAAAAGATTCCACCACTAATTTACGATTTGCAAGACTAAACCTTGTTGACCTTGCTGGTTCGGAAAGGTAGTGTGTTGCTAGGCTTATTACTCATCAGATTTTGAAATAACTTGTGCAGCATTTCATTTCCACTAATCTCGTCATGACCAATAACAGGCAGAAAACTTCTGGTGCTGAGGGTGAACGTCTAAAAGAAGCAGCAAGCATCAACAGATCATTATCTACGCTAGGGTAGTGACATAATAAATAAATTTCTCTGACTTCTTTTTGTTACAATCATATGGTTATTGATTCTGTGAATGCCCATTTTTTCTGCAGTCATGTGATAATGGTTCTCGTGGATGTGGCACAAGGGAAGCCACGGCATGTTCCCTATAGAGATTCAAGACTTACATTCCTTCTTCAGGTGGAATACAAATAAATGTATCTGTTGCCTTCATTTAGCTTACATTCCTTATTTCATAATCCTTGTTTAACACGAGGGTAAATACAGGATTCCTTGGGCGGTAACTCGAAAACAATGATAATTGCCAATGTCAGCCCTTCTATCTGGTATGTGCTTGTGTTTTAACTGTTAAACCGTCATTGCAACTTGAATGCTTAGGTGCCAAAATTTTAAATCCTGTCAGTAATTATTGTTTCCCAGCTGTGCTGCTGAGACACTGAACACGTTGAAGTTTGCTCAGAGAGCAAAACTGATTCAAAACAATGTAAGCTTGTTTTCTGAGCAATGGAATATAATTAATTTGTATCAAAAGTACACACTTTTTTCCCCTTTAATGTTAATTTTTTCTCTCTTCATGTCAAAGGCTGTAGTCAATGAAGATTCTGCAGGAGATGTCACTGCACTACATCATCAAATACGGCTTCTGAAGGTGTTATTTAGTTTTTTAATCTTTTAGATGAAAGATTAGTTCTTAGTTGGAACTAATAACTGGTTTTTGGAATAGGAGGAGCTTTCTGCTCTCAAACACCAGAATGTGTCCCGGTCTCTATTGTTCGGTCCAAAACTCATTGGAGACACCAGAGAAGAACATGAAAATAATTGCAATGAAAAGGCAATAGATGGGGATCAGCTGAGAAATTATACTTTGCTTGGAAGTGAATCAGGTGTTCTGAGAATGTCTTCTAAGCAGGTATATTAACTTGTGTTTGTGCTGCACTCCCCCCCCCCCTCCTCCTGTAAGTATTATTTCCCCAGAATGATAATGAATGACTGTGCAAATACTGTAGCAGGTATTTAATAGCTGACGAATTTGGTCTACTTGATGATATGCCAATATGTATATTTGTTGTCCTTGGATTTAGAAGCTAAAACTAAACTCAGTTTGATGATGTGGTCAATTGATGTTAGTTCAATTAAATGATATGTCATTACTCATTAGTATACAAAAGGAATAGGCAATTTCTTTTATGGATTTTATATGTCGTTTTCCTTCAATGTTTTTAGTTTGCTGATATGATTATTGGCGGCTAGATTAACTGTGTATGTGGTTATCTAATATCTATAGACGCCTAAACTGTAGATGTCCTTTGTGATCATCAGATTACTACCTATAATTCACTTGATTGCTTCTTATTCTATGTATCTATTTGTTAACAAGCACGTTGACTGTTGCAATTATATGTATTGTTCATTATTCTGCTAAAAGTCTCTGGACCTTTTTCCTGTCTAATTTTCCTTCAGCTGAAGTCATTGGAGACGACGCTTGCTGGGGCTTTGAGGAGGGAACAGATGGCAGAAACTTCTATCAAACAACTTGAAGCTGAAATCGAACAGTTGAACCGTTTGGTAGCCCCCTTCTCTCTAGGGGCAAGGGAAATGGGGGTGGTTATGAAAGAAAACATTTGACATTGTGTCTTTATGAACTGCAATTTAATTCACGGCATACTGGTTCTCAGGTTCGTCAAAGAGAGGAGGATACCAGGTGCACAAAGATGATGTTGAAGTTTCGGGAAGACAAAATTCAACGCATGGAGTCTCTTCTTGGTGGCTTAACGCCTGCAGATGCTTACTTGCTGGAAGAGAACAATGCACTCTCGGAAGAGATTCTGCTGCTTCGTGCTAAAGTTGATAAGAACCCAGAAGTGACTCGCTTTGCCCTGGAAAATATCAGGCTTTTAGAACAACTTAGGAGGTAGCTCTCTATAAACAATAAAGTAGCTTGTTTCTAAAAAAAATTATCCAACTATGCTTTACCATTTTAACCAGTTTTTGTTCCTATTTTTCTTTTCGAATTTTTTAGATTTCAAGACTTCTATGAAGAAGGGGAGAGAGAAATGGTGTTGGCTGAAGTAGCTGAACTGCGGGATCAGGTCTGAAATTCCAAAAAGATGCTGTACTTTTCTTTCCCTGTCTTAGTCTGTTTGGAGCCTTATACAGCTAGTTCTTTCCTCTGTCTGCAGCTAGTTCTCTTTCTTGATGGGAACTTGAAGCAGCATAACCCTTTGAACATGGATATGCCACCACCTCAGGTAAGCTTCTTAAGTAGATTTAATATTTTTCCAGTTAATCTTGAAAATTGGATATAGTGCTGCTACCTTTTTAATCCGTAAACTGTTTCCCAATTGGCACAGGAAACTATATCAATCAGTAAGGAAAATGATTTGCTCTGCCTGGAGGTTACATTCTCGTATTCCTATAATTTATGCATGTATATTTGTATATATATGCGCTTAAAATTCATGTCTCTCCTCTGCTTTTTTCACATCGCAGTTGAAGAAGACTCTCAATGAGTTAGAGGAATGCAGGAGCAAATTAAACTCTTGCCTAGAGGACAATGCGAAACTCAGCAGGTAATCAAA